TCCCTTCAATGACGGCTTGCCGGCGGTTCCAGCGGCCAGCGTGCGTTAGATAAACCGCCAGCACGCGTCGGTAAACTGCCGGTACTACACCAACGGTTCCCGGCGGTCTTGGCCGACGGTCGTACCGGCGGTCTCGACCATCGGGCTTTCACCGGATTACCGCCGGGTGCCATTATGCTTGCTACAATGATGCTTACAGGGTTTACTTCTCTTAGTGCATTACCAGTAGTAGAATCTTCTTTGTTTGCCTCGTTTTTTCTTTTGGATTTCGAATTACTCATGCATTGTAGCTCATAGGTGAAAGTTATAAATTATCTTCGTTTATATGCAAAAGAGCAAATTTTAAATATTTAGTTTCAAGTTTCAAATGATGTAAAATGTCAACAAACTTCTTCATGATTTCAATATAGTATTGAAGGGTTCCCATGACTAAAGCGGGGATCTAATATTTGCTAACACATGTTGCTAATCTATAAGAATTTCCCACAACTCTCAGGCTTCGTTTGTGATAGCTTTTTTAATATTTTCTAAGCAAATTTCTAGTACAAAATTAAAATTTGTATGCTAAAATCTGATTTAAGAAGCAATAAGAAAGTTATCCCAAACAAAGTCATAGTATGTGAATTGTGATTGACATCATCCTCAAATGATCTAGTCTCAAGTGCTTTGGAATAATTTGGATGTCTCAAAATTTTAATTTTAGTTCATATAATTTTGTAGCTCTATTATTCCTGAAAAAAAAAATCATAATTGTTTCCATGCTCGTGGGATGTCATGCAATTCTCAAACTCATTTATAAGATCTTCGTGTATTTAATTGAGCATCACAAAGTGCAAACGTAATATTTTCATTTTCCTTTTATTCAATGATTCATATATTTTAATAAATTATATTTATTAATTTCATCACAATTGTAATATTCTTTCTCATATATTAGGATCCAATATTTGATATTTACTTAATCATTTAATATAATAATTTTAAAAAAAATAATCTAAAAAATAAAATTAAGAAACACTTAAAATACACAAAATATGAAATCTACCATATAATAAATGCCAGAAAAGAATGACCACCACATTCATAATTAATTATAATACTTGTGAAATAAATTTAATTCATAAATATTCATTAACTTACCTCAATATATAAAAAAAAGATAAAATTTTTGTCTTCTCATTCAATATTTATTGCATTTTTCTCAAAATTATTGAAATATATAAACTGTTTTAAAAAAATTTGACACGATGCCAAAATCTAGGCTTTGAATTCTCTTTTCTGAAGAATAATTTCAATTTAAAGAAGAAATATGCCATGAAATATATTCAATAACTTTTAAGAAGGAAATGGGCGAGTTATGAAATATCTCATGCATATTTCTATATCTAGAATAAAATTATTTTATTAAATACAACACAATATTAATGCCTAAAATGTACAATTAATGACCATGAGTCATGACTACGAAGATGGTTCCAAACTATTTCTGGAGCCCATGACAACACCTTCTGATCATGGAGAAACTACTTGTCATATGATTATGACTTCTATTTAATTAATTATGACTTCCTAGGAACTCTGGCCTGCTCTTCATAAATTAGATTTCATTTGGTACGGCTTTATTATTGCATGCTTCTTAAAATAATTTTTTAGTACAGTTATTTTAAGAAGCAGCACCGCAAGTGAAATCTTAATCTGCAATGAGCGCCTCTAATAAAGTAATATGTGCTATATATATACATAAGGACCAAAAACTATAAGCATAACTCTCCAAGCAGGTTGAATACTCAGAAATGGAGGAATAATAAAGCCGGCCTGATTCTCCATTTGATTTGAAAAGAAACTTCGCTTAGCTTGAGAGCAAAGCCGTCTGAAAAGTGGCGGCCTTATGGGACAGATTGATGCCTAACCAAGAAAAGTGCATGGTGGCCTCTCCCTGTCTTGCTCTCCCCAACCTTTTTCACATCATTGAGATGCCCACTTAATTGACCTGATCACCCACACTTGATCTGTTCTAGTTAAAATCACATTCCTAGCTAGCACTACTATCTCTCTTTAATTTGTTGTTTCATAAGGCTGCAAGAAGTAATAAATGCTGAATTAGATTAATCTTTCATTGAATAAATCCAGCTATCTTTAATTTACTCATGAATAGTATATTATTATCATTTATCCTAAAGTGCCCAACCACTTAGCCTGGCAATACTTTAAACATCAGGCTTTTGAAGTACTTAATTATGATTTGTTGGCTGAGATTCTTTCAAAAGATAGAACTTAAGTAATATATCGTAAGATTACATCTAAATCTTTTGTTGCATCAGCCAAAAGCAATTCTTTCTATAAACTCATGTTAGCATATTTATGGTTGCAAAAAATCATGTCCAACTTGCTTTATTTTTAAATACAATTAATAATTTGATAAATATTATTGGTTATTCGTGCAAAAAAGATATATATTAAGAGAAAAATATTATAACAAAATTATTGAGTAGCTTATAAAAACAAACGCTTCAAAGGTATATGTTTGTAGTAGGAAATTACTCTTCAAAGACAAGAAAATACTCATTGGGGTTCACGCTATGATTCTTTAATCAGTTTAATTCTTTTATTTGGATCTATAATTGAGGTTCTTCATATAATGACATAAAATGGATATAATAGTGAGCAAAAAGGTGAAACATATGTTCTACTTGATTTTAGACAAAGTTCTAAATTTTTTTTTAATTTGTATACAATGAAGGCTATATTAAGAGTTACAAATAAGTTATTACAAGTTTGGAAAGAAATTATCAATATATTATTAATATTATGACTTTAGTAAATGTATCTAAATATATAAATGCTTTAAAATATGACAGATGATGGGTGAGACAATTTGTTTAAAGAACTTGTACTATTTTGTGAGAAGAATAACAAATATATTCCAAATATAACTGATACACTTATAATAAGAGAAAGACAAATAAGTCATGGTCAAACTATCACAAATATCCATCATTATCAAATTAAATTATTTTACACATGTGATAGATATGCAATTTTAAGAGCTTGATCAATAACAGATTTCATGAAATAAATATAGAGTTATTTATGTGTGTGACATATTCGAAACAATGTGATTCATTTTTAACTTTTAATAAAGAATAATTGATATGGTTGACAAAATTTTATCTGCCGGATTTTTTCAAAAATAGATCTCATTATATTAGACAAATAAATTGAAAATTTTATTGTTGATGTGCGATCGACTTATGTATTCATGAATTTAAAAGAAATTAATTGGAAAACTTGCTCAGAAATAATTGGAGACTAGGAAGAATGATATATATCATTTGGTGTTCTTACTTTGATATTGTCAATTGCTACAACAACGATCAAATGTGCATTCTTTGCAATAAATATTAGAAAGAACCATTTATGCAATCGTATGTTTGACTGTTGAATGAATGATTTTCCTGCAGTGTTGGTATGTCACTAAAATGCGTGCAATCATCATATAAAGGATTTATCAATGTAATAAATATTATATAAAATTAAATAATTAATATTCGGATTTTAATACTTTTATAATTTCTTAAGGGCATTATAATCGGGTATCTTCTAATTAACTACTGGTCTTCTTATCTTTGATGAACGTGCGCATGTAGCTTCACCATAAATGAGCCTTTTCCCAACATCTCAAAAGCATGCATTCACTAATTAATGTTAACAGTTGTATGCATGCATTCTACCTACGTACGAGGGAATATATTTAATAAACGAATAAATTTGATTTGATTTGAGTCAGCCTGAATTTCCTTTTTTATCCGAGGCTGAATTTGAAATATAAATTATTTATTTATTTCTAGGAGCAGAGTGATTTCATATTCCATGCATGAGAGGCTCATGAGAGTAAACTAATTGGAGAGAAGGGCCATTTTAGTTTTAATGAGACGAACTGCTTGCATGGAGGCCCAGAAAGCTAAGTGGTATATATGGTTCATTTGCTGGGAGCTAGAGTCGAAGACGTGGACAACGAGCTAGCTAGAGGTCAGTTTATATATACCATCGATAGCGACTGAGACAATTAAGGACTTACGTCGACGACAGATGTTAGGAAGGAAATGCAAGCATATATATAGCCACGACGACAGAGATCAGCAAGCTAGCATTTTTAATTTCTCTGTTAGCTGGATGAAAAGAGTTTATATATTTATTCAGACATTTTCAAATTCAGGTACATAATTAGGAATCTGCGACGTGAATTCCAAAGAAGCATGACAAAACTAAACAGATTTTTCAAATAAAATTACCGGTCTCGATGGTTTGTGGTTTTTAATTGGCACACACATGGAAAGTTTCAAATCTGTTACAATCATTCAGGCCAGCTGGATGTTGCTGAATATGATTATCAACGAACAAATTTGAATCACTCACTAATAGATTATTGCCTCAAGAATTCTAGCTCTTCTAGACAAGTCCGAGTACGTACCAAGGATGCCTAAATATGGCTTTGTCCAAGCCTTAATTTGAAAAAATCATTAATTTTTTAATCATCAACCGGTTGTAGGCAAGCTAATAATTAATACATGCTCGTAACTGGTCTTAAAGCGCATTCGTTTGGTTGTAGATAAAATAAAATAATAATAAAAAAAAGATAATATTTTTTATTACAGTTGTTTGTAAATCTAAAATTATTTTTTTAATATAATTTGCAAACTTCAGAATTTATTTGAATTTTTTAATGACAATCATTCAAATAATTAAATTTAATAAATTCATTGTTATTTTTTTACTAGACACCTCATAAACTCTAAAGAATTAAGATCTTTCGTACTATTTTATAAAATGATTTTTTATTACTTTATTTTTTGTTTAAATAAAAAATTCAAAGTTTTGAAAATCGGACCGGACAATGAACCAGAAGAGGGAGAGGTTCACAGTGCTTTTTCCTCAAAAACCAATAAAGAAATTTGATAAAATTAGATATACATATTCGAAGCTGCCTCCAGGCCTACTTCCTACTCTGGCACCGTTGTTTCCTTCGTCTCCTCCTCACACTTGCCAACAACACTATTATAAACATAAAACTTCGAAACGACCAAAAACAAGACAAAATTAACGACAATCAGACCAACTAAAAACCCATAGTAATAGTCGAGATGAGATGCGTTCAGGTTATTCACTATCCATCCATCATTATTGCCCATCTTTGTCACTTTGGACACAATCGACAGAAGAAAACTACTGAGAAAGTAGCTTACTCCCAAGCTCGAAGTGTAGATGGAAGCCCCCAAACTCTTCATCTTCTCCGGAGATTGATCATAGAAAAACTCCATCTTTCCAACTTCAACCAACATTGCTGCAAATCCTATGCCCAAAAACTGTGGCAAAAGAGCAAACACAGTTAATGGAACCTCTGTATTCTGATGAACAAGTCCTTTTTCTCTCACTATGCTCAATCTCCATCTCTCTATGAAGGCTGTCATGATCATCACAACAATATACACTACTTGGCCTACGCCAATTCTCTGCAGTAATGTTATTCCACGCGGATTCTTTGTGTGCTTTCTGCATAATGGAACAAACCATCGATCATAGAGCACAACAGTGACTATAATGGCGATGACATAGAAAGCTGAGAGGCTTGCAGGTGGTATGCTGAATTGAGGGCCGATACTACGGTCAAGTGTTGCTGCTTGCTTCACAAACAGAGTTAGCACTTGAGCTATCATAACGCTTGGTATGATCGTCACAAAAAACACTGGAAGCAACTTCATCATTTGCTTTGTTTCTTCTACTTGAGTCACTGGACAAAGCTTCCATGGATTGTCTGAGGACTTCTCGGTCTTCACTGCTGCCTTATCAAGGAACCTGCATATATATTATGCATGCGAATTAATTAGTGTATTTAATTTACTAAAAAATAGAATTTCATGCACGACAAAATATTATTAAGTTACCTGAGCGAATCAGTGTGATTTATTTTATGCTTTCCCTCCTTGGAATAATATTGCTCGTCAAGTTCGAATAAATGTTCTGAATCTTCAGGGATGGGCGCATTCCATTTCCTTGTTGCCGTGACAAACACTTGGGCTAACTTGGTGAAAGGACTACCAGAAGGCACCCTATGCCTGTACGTTGGAGTGCCGACTAATAACAAACATATCGCAATAAGTATCATAATTGTTGATAGAACGTATCCAAAAGACCAGCCAACGTTATCCTGGACGTAGACGAGGACTGTGCAAGAGAATAGATTGCCGATGAAGATGGCGACCGTCCACCAATTGAAGAAGGAAACCTTTTGAGCTCGCTCCTTGGAATTGAAATTGTCAAATTGGTCGGCCCCAAAAGTGGATGAATTTGCCTTCATTCCACCAACACCAACAGCTATAACATAAAGTGAACAAAAGAAAAGGTTGGCATGAAACCGAGAAATGTGGTTGTTGCAATCTTGGTCGGTGTTTGATAAATTGCACGGCGTTGCCTGTAGCGAGTGCAGTGACACAGTAAGGGTCAAAAAGCTCATTCCCTGCAAATGGTAGATATCATTAAGCTTTTCTGTTTGCTCATACATAGAGATGATCGAGAGGGAGATCGAGAAATTTATGATTTCTGTTTCAAAATCAAGAGGAGATCGATGGTTTTAGGTAGTTATACCAATAAGTAGATTATGAAGGAGATTATTAAGGTCCAATATCGACCGAGATAAGCATCTGCAATATATGCGCCTAGGATTGGTGTCATCATTGTTGTTCCCATCCAATTGGTGACATTGTTTGCCGAAGTTACAGTGCCTTGATGGAGCTGATTTGTCAGATAAAATACTAGATTTGGTGCTATCCCAAAATAAGCCACCCTCTCGAACATTTCTGATGCTGTGCCATTCAAATGAAACTCAAATGAAGATCAAACTTGACCGTTTTTATGAAGAGAGAGATCGAGAGGTAGAAGGAGCTACAGATTTATTTAATTACCAAAAATGAAGAAGCAAGCAGTCCACTTCCCTCCCTTTGATCTAAGAGAAGGGTGTCCTTTAAGATCCACCGTTCCATCCTTTGTGTATTCGTCTCCAAGAGACATCTCACCATGCTCAACATCTGCCATTGCCGAGGAAGATAAAGCTTTTTGATACATGCAGTTGTAGTTGTGTCTGCTGCACTTAATTTTTACTTAAATAGAACACAAATATTCATCAGGAAATTAGTAAATTAAGCATGAAGAAGTTGACACAGTGCTCAAAAACAAAAGAAAGTTTTTTAAAAATTAATAAATTGCGGTAGTTGAAGAATTACAAAAACTAAAATAATAAATAAATAAAAGAATAAAAAACAAGAATCATAGAGCAACTTGGAGGGTAGTTTAAATTCGAAACATTCTACAGATGCACTTTATTCGTTTTAGGTCCTTGTAAAACTGAACAATCTAAATTTTATTTTATTTTTAAAAAAATGTAGAATCAATTTAAAAATAATAATATTATTGTTATTTTTTCGTTTGATTTTCTAACATTATTTACAGTTTATTCCTTTACAGTCCTAATAGAAGTAAACTACTAGAATTTTATTTTGTTTGGAAAATTTATCTATATGGAATCAATACAAAAAAAATAGTACTATTAATATATATGATAAATTTAATACACAAGCAATTTGAACCAAAATATTGCGCTATTTATTTTTATTTTTCAAGTAAAGATAATGCTGAAAATGAGCGGACTTTAAAATATTAAAGAGTATATATACATTAAATAATAAAAAAATAACACAACCATTGTTTGGATAAATCATTAAAATCATTAATTAGCAGAAGGGGATAATTTTGACAATTGCATATGAAAAGAGATAAAATAATAAACAATTGCAGATGTGACAAAATGTGAATATATTTTTACAAAGGAAATTATTGTTACGTGACTAAAATAATTTGGCATTGCGATATCTCCAATATACAGCTAATTGTCAATGACAAGAATGGTCAGAGGTTGCGACAACTCTTGCAAAGGGAAAATAAATGGTCAAATATGAGATACAAATTAATCGTGTGCTATATGTTACAAACTAATAAAACGTAAGAGTTGGAAGATTGGGATGCGAGAGCTGTAATGTATTTGGTGGTAAGTGTTCGATCATATAATCATAATCTAAAGAGGTGGAATATAGTACGTGCATGACGAATGTATTGATGAAGGAAGGGAACCGTGCAGGGCCGTAGTAAATGGAAAGTTTCAATTCAGAAAGGGAAGAGATGGAAGATGCATGGTGGAGAACACTGAATATATAGTTGTTGTTCATTCAAAGATGGAAAATGTGCCATTTATATGCTAAGCTTGATGACAACCATGCATCCACAGGATAACAACAGTAGTGATCATAAAAACCCCAAGTTTTCAAAAATTTACATATATATCATTCTATACTATTCTATTTACATATTTAATATCTAAAACTTTAATATTACATACATACCACCTATTGTTCATTTTCATATCAAATATGAGTGTAGAAATAAAATATATGAGTGGTAGGAATGAAATATGAGTGATATATTTGGTATTAAAATAATATAGGGTGGTATGTTTGTAATATTAAAGCTTTGGATGTTAGATATGTAAATAGTATGGTATAAAATTGTATGTATGTAAATTTTCCTTAAATACATCTCCGATAGATGTTCTGATCTAAAGTTTTTAATTATACTTCAACTGTTTCATTTGTGCTTGTTCGAGTTGGGTTTCATTAATTTTTGTGTCAGAAGTTTAAAAATAAAAGAGTTTTTGAGCGGCTTTAGTGTACTTCGAAAACTTCATCCACCTCTTAATTTGGGTTCCTCTTTCATCTTCCCCTTCTCCTCCGGCTTTGCAAGAGCCTTTGGAGGAGACTCACCCCTTCTCCATCTTAGGATTCCCTCCTCTAACCATTGGGCCTCATTCAATGAAATTGATCATCCCTAATGATGAGGTCGTTGCTGCTGTGCTTAAATGGAAAATTGCCCTTTCATCTCGAATCTCCTCTCTGGTAGATTTTCATGTCTCTTTTTGTCTTCCTAAAAAATCAGTGGTTAACTTCAAGTCAAATATGGTTGCTAGCTGTTAGCAACCAATTTTATGATAATTAATTCCTAGGTTCATTTTATCCTAATAAACCTCTATATATTGAGAGGTCATAATAGGCTTAAGGACTTAGCCAATAAGCAATAAAGATTTATGTTATGAATTTCTCTATCCTATTATTCCCTCCCTCTCTCTCTCTCTCTCTCTCTCTCTTCCAAGAAGCTCAAGGAGCATCATTTTCAATCCCAAGAATCCAACAAAGTGATAACATAGCTAGGCAGAGGTCAATGAAGGTTCTTGTCCAAAGAAAGAAAGAAAGAGATGAGGTAGATCATGTTGTGAAAACAATCATAACGAAAATAATAAATCACACAACACAAACACAATAAACACAATGATCTACATGGTTCGACGAAGATGCCTACATTCATGGGGATACTACAGGAAAATCACTCCGTATCGGCGGCTTATTTCGGCGGTTATCATAAGCTTTCCGGCGGTTTTGTAAAATTCCGGCGGCTTTGCGGCGGTTTAAAATCTGCCGGTAAAAACCGCGTAGGAAATCGTTTTCGACGGTTTAATTAACAGCCGGTTTACCGGAAGTGAGTACTGCCGATTTTGTTCCGGCAGTCATGACGCCGGTGACCGCCGATTATTTACCGGCAACATACCGGCTGTTTAACCGCCGGTTATGTCAGATTTTTTTGAATTTTTCCGGCGGTTGTACCGCCGGTATAGCCTCTGTAAGGAACCGGCGGTTTAACGGTGGTCATGGCCGAAGGAATTACCGGCGGAGCCACCGCCGATGTATCGTCGGAGAACCACCGGAAACCGTCGGTAAGCCGCCAGAAATTACCGGCGGTAATAGTAATATTTCAGCGGCTTCCATCAGCTGTACGGTAGTTTGCTGCATCATTTTCTATTTTAGTATTTATTTTAATATTAAATTATTTCAATGCTTAATGAACTTCATTCTTTTATTTGCAGGCGCTTGTACAGGAGAGTTGAAGTTTTGTACATGAGTTTGTAAAGTTTTATTAAGTTGGCAGTTTCATTTTATGTTGTTTAGAGTTATGTGTTGATTGAGCTGATTGTTAAGTTTGTTGAGAGTTTATGTTGTATATGTTGACTAATGAAACACAATGTTTCTCTTCAAGATGTTTTCCCTCCTCTAAATAGATTTTTTTTCATCGAGTGTTGTCTGCTGTGAGGATCTGATGACTATTTCATTGCAAATTTGTGAGACATAAATCGTTTCTTTTGCCAACTTTTTGAAGCTTAGTTTTGAACTTTTTTATCATAAACGCGTGCAGTCCATGGTTTATAATTTTATATGAGAACATTATTCATATAATTGTTATTAATTATGTTCGTATTTATTAAAAATTTAAGAATGGCAATGATATATATCATATGAATCATGTATCATAGGGTAGATTCTTTACCAACTCATTCACTTGACTTGCCCAGGGTTTTATAGAACATTATCTTACAATATTTTTATATTCTCAATCATTAGTTTTCTTATATTTTAATCATACATATATAATGTTACAACATGATTTATATAATTAAGCATGAACACATTGTAGATTAATTTAATTGGTAAGTTAAATGCTCTCTCTCTCTCTCTCTCTCTCTCTCTCTCTCTCTCTCTCTAATTTCAAATTTTCTTTCTTAAAGATCTTTTTTTTTTAAGTCCACTTAAGTCCAAAATTTTTAAGAAAATTTTGGCAGTCTTCCGACATTTCCTCCTCACTGAGGGAGAAATCGGGACGGCATTTGCTCATATTTTCTTCCCGACCGGACCTAAGGTCGATGACACGAGGTCTTCAATTTAAATTCTTTCTAACCGGATTTAAAATTGATGGTGCGATATCTTGTATTTTAAAACCATCTCGGTCGGACTTAAAGTCAACGACGCGATGTCTTGAATTTGAAACCATCTTGGCCAGACCTAAGGTCAATGACACGATGTCTTAAAATTTAAATTCTTCCAGACTGGATTTAAAATTGACGGGCTACTTTCTATAAAAGTTATAAGTCCCAACCTAAATCAAATCTTTGGGCAACTCACAAATAAAGTAATAAGCCCCAACCTAAATTAAATCTTTGGACTACTTTCTACAAAAGTCGTAAGTCCCAACCTAAATTAAATCTTTGGGCTACTTTCTACAAAAGTCATAAGTCTCAACCTGAATCAAATCTTTGATCTACTTTCTATGAAAGACATAAGTCTCAACATAAATCTAAATACTTTGGCTACTTCCTAAAGAAGCCATAAGACTCGTTCTAATCCAAACTCCAAGGTTACTTCTGAATGAAGTCAAAAATCCCAAAATAAACTAATTTTTGGGTATTCTAAAAGATATAAACTCCAAAGTACCCAACAAAATTAAAACTAAATTCAACATCTAACCATTTAAGTCTACTTGGGATCTCTGAGAGGAGGCAACCCATGGCTGCTAATCAGATTTACTAGATACTACAATCAATGATTGTTAGTGTTTGTAGATTGAAACTATGGTATACCCGGGATGACGAAACCATGAGATATTGATCGGGTTTACTACAATTTCCCCATTTTTGAGACTAAAATTACATAAAAAAAATTTATTCATCCTTAATTGAGAGTTTTCTCTTACGTGTTAAGAGGGGTAATTAATATGAGTGCTTGTGCTCATGGGAACTAAAGATCTCAGATCTTTCAACCCTGACACTACCCTCAGGGAAAGTCTGGTTAAATCTAACTTAAGGAAATGGAATCTTACGGCTACAAAGCAGGATTCATGCATTCATATCATTTTTTTTTTTTTTGAATATGAAGATATTAGTTATTGTTGGAAAATCTGTTAAAGAAAAATAGATTGATTTTAATTTTATCTATAAATCAAATGATGTTATTTCACACAGGTACCCACAGCGATATAAATCAAATCGGGTGACATCGTGATTTACCTGTGTTAAAATACAGTTTGTACAAGAAATATTTCTGGCGAATTAACTGATTTTCTTGGCATGTGAAAACGTAATTTATGTGACAAAACCATCTAAG